GTGGGAAGGAGGAGGAAATGATCCCGCGACACGACGGCAAGACGTAACTTTTCTACAGGGGAGGGGGAAATTTTGAGGATTTATTCTCTCTATATGTGTTTTTAAAACGCTATATTTCTTAATTTATTTTCAGACTATTTCAAATAAATCTTGACCCTATGAAAAACTGAAGAAATGGTTTACCTGCCCTGTCGGGTAGGCTTTGGGACTCACCCACCTGCCCGAATATGGGTTTTACCTGTCCCAGGCAGTCGGGCAATAGGATTTGTCAAACCCTGATTCAGTCTTAAGCTTGTAGGACTAAATTTTCATATGACTTCCTAAATTATCTAAAATGTTATATTGAGACAGGGCTCTAAGCTATAGGCTACAGAAATCTCAACCTTTGTTTTTATGAAAGTAATGGTACATTGCATACATGTCTGTTTACAGCTTGGATGGAAAGTGGCAGATGTGTTTGGGGAAGAGAGGAGGGKGACGACAGTTTGAATTAGGCCACTTTGTCCAGCTGAGGCTCCATTAGTGGTCGACTAATCAGTCACAGTAAACTTCACACTTTTTTTTCCAGAATTTCAGATGAAATCCTGTTTAAAATAGGCAGAATTGTTTCAAATCAAATAATTGTGCATAAATAACACCAACACTAGTCTGACACAACTGGAGTTTTCTTTTATTACAGATTATRAGGAATGAGAAGTCACAGCTCATGGGTTTTGTGGGACCTGAAACCTAATTTGAACAATACTTTATTTGGTTTATATCAGTGGGACAGTAACTAGACAAGCAAGACAACGTTGCAACATGTTATAATGCAAAAAAGAGTTATGCATCATAAATCTGACCCTTTTGTCACAAATTGGTTTTGGATGGGACTGTAGTTGTATTTTTTAAGTCCAAACCATGAAACCAAATATAAAAGTTGTAAAGTAGTGCAGAGATTGATCAAAGTATGACTCTTAGAATAGGAAAGAATACTCAAGCTGTGCTTCAGATGTACAGATGGATAAACCCAATAATTTCATAAATACAAGGACATTAATAAGTAATGGTTGTATTARGGTAGTAAAACTGGAGCAGGCTGAGAATGTAAACAGTACATGAAGATTTMTTTTAAAACAATTTTAAAATGACGTACCACATGACTTAAATCATATACAGTTTGTTGTACACTTTGTTTTTAGGTAAGCAAGTGTCTTGTACCATTAAACAATCCCTTCAACCTGTTGTTCAACTTCCTGTTTGGATGATTCCTCTGGCCTGGAAGATGTCTCATATCAAACTAACCTCCCATAAAGCTGTGATGTGAGGACTGTGAACAGTTAGCACTCAGATCTGTTGGCATGACAGCACTCTGCTAAGATGACTTAGTGAATGCTGTATTGTAGTTTGGCCCGTTTCCGCAGCTTTAAGTCAAACTGCAAAGACCAGTTTAATCATTCGTTCAAGGATTAATGATGAACTTGTCAACCTCTGGGATACACGTTTTATTTTTTTAACACTTCTCACAAGAACATGCTCAGAATGTATATATGTTTTTAACAACTTAAAATCCATAGATTTTTTGTTTTGAGGATGTTTACATGTACTGTAACGCAKGTGTGTGTCCACAGGTTGGAGCAACAAAGGATTGAACAGCAGGAACGGGAACGCCAAGAAAGAGAGAGGCAGGAGTGGGAGCGTCAGGAAAGAGAGAGGCAGGAGAGGGAACGACAAGCTGCTGCAGGTCAGGAAACACCTGGGCTGCTCAACATCACTACATTTATGAAGCACAAGTCTTACATTCTTTTTTGTTTTTGTTAGGTAATTGTGCAGAGCTGGGTTAAGCTACARTAGTCGTTTTAAATTCTGCAATACAACTAATTTACATATTAACATATTTCTTAAAACTCTGTCTTTTATACACTTGCACTTCAGAATTAGCATTTATTTTTTAATTATTAGTAATATAATTCCTGCTAAAACTACAAAAATGACTATCTTTGTATGACTTTGCTTCTTTGTCCTTTTTGGTGTCTTGGTTCAAACGTGGAAAAGAAAGCTAACATAAAGTAGAGTTAAGGCTGGTGATATGACCTAAATCGTAGTTTTGAGGCTTTGTCACAAAACATGATATAGATTTTCTTATGTGTTCAAATTCCTCTTTACTCACTGTTAATGTTTATTTCAACATTATAGTCTTTTGCATTGATTTGTGACTTAAAGACTTTGGCCCTCTGACCTTTGTGTCCTATACGGGACAAAAATGGTATTTTCTAACCCTCCTGTTTTATGTTAGAGAGGTCCAACTCTGAAAGTCGTTCTGTCTGTTACATAATTCCAYGACACTCTCAGCTCTTCAGCTGCTACAACCAGCAGCGTTTCATCACAGACCATCTTAAACTTCCAGAAAGCCAGACTAATGTTGATGGTAATGAGTTGATTTCCATTAGCTTCTTATATCAAGAACGCKGTCTCCTGAGATTCCTCAGTGTGAAAAAGCAGGGAACCCTCTAGTTAAGTTTGTTGGAAGGTGGAGTGAGCTGTGATGGTGAAGTTAAACCACCAATGAAATGGATGCAAATGGCTATATAAGAGATTGGCAAGAAGATTTCTTCTCAAAAGCTGTGATATCTATCATTTAAGACAGGGGTTCTTAACCTTTTTTGACCTCAGGGTCCAATTTGTTGAACATAAAGTGACACAAGGCCCAGTCACACATTACCAATGTAT